TTAAGTCTACAAATTGGTGCCAAAAATCGAGCAGATCTTGCTCACAAAATCTGACAGCAGATTGGCTGCAGAAACCGAGCAAGATCTGCTAACATGACTTGACGTCAGATTGTCGGCAGAAACCGAACAAAATCGCACGCACACTCTAACGGCAGATTGGCAACAGAAACCGAGCAGAATCTGCAGCTTTTGGCAATTCACGTAAAATGATGCATTTAAAAGGTTTCAAAATGTTATATAATAAATTTACTATGTACTCCGTCACTAAAAATATTATAACTTTTATATAAAATATTTATTTCAAAAATGTGTATTTTTCGAAATAAGAGATTTCCATATTTTTTGAAAATCCTGTACATAGAGTGGCGCCAAACGTTTCAGCTGGACTTTGTGGTCTGATAGGAAATTTAAATATAAACAAAATTTTTTATAAACAGGTTTTTCAAAACTGCGTCCTTAAAAACTTATCTTAAAAAGTAAATCTTTGAAAAAAATATTCCTCTCCACGCGCTAAGCCACAAATCAGTCAAGCGACTGAGCTTTATTCTATAATAATATCGCCTACGATATTTCTTGAATGTCANTAGAATATCACACAATAAATTTGTATTTTCTCTTATCTCGAATTTTCATAAGTAATTTGCATGCGATAAATATTATAGTATTGAGTGAGTCAGTCGTGCAAAAATTATCGTCCACAATATATGGTGTTATAAATAAGGCTCAGCAGATAGATCGCTGCTCGTGCCGATATATTGAAGCTTAAGAAAAACATTTCGAGAACAATTAGTTTTTTTTTATTAGTTTTTTATTTATTTCTTATTAAAAAGTGTTGTTTTAGTATATAAAGAATTATTGCATTTTTATGAAATAAAAAAACTTATATAAAAATATATTTAAAAAAAACATGATCTCAGTGTTTTTGGATGCTAATTATTTAAGGAAGCATTTTTGGACTTATGTTTCGAATAGAAAATTTTTTGTTCAGAGGTAAATTTCCTATCAGATCACAAAGTTTGAGCGTCACTCTGTACATAAATATAAAATTCTTATATTATACAGGTCCGTAAAATTTTGACAGCCGAAGTATAGAGATAGATTGAGTTAAACTGAATAGAAAAATTATTTGCCATTTTGAAAAATTTGCAATAGTTATTGAGTAATTATTGAATAAATCAAGCCAATCAGCGCGGACCTTTAGCCAGGCGCATGTCAGTGAGCCGCGCGCATGGTGTGTAAGCGCTCCGCGCGAAAACTTTTTAGTGTCAGACACTTTAGTTTTAGTTTTTTGATTAATATTATAATCGTAACGCTCTTCATAGTATTCGACTAAATTTATATATATATTTATATAAAAATTTCGCCGCTTTGATGAGATATCTTCCGTTTTTATGGCGGCAAAATCATAGACTTATATATAAATAGACCCAGCGTTCTGTGAGAGGAGTTGTCCGCGTCTTCTAAAGGACGGAACGATATGCATCCAGGTGCTGTCTCCGTCGCTCCGCCGGTCTGGAGGGGGAACGTCGATGGATAACGTTGAAGGAAAG